ATCCAAATCTAACAAATGAAAATGTTCCAGAAACCTCTTGACAAGGAGGACAGCTCAACAAGACTCTGGATCAAGACACTGGGCTTGGTGGAGCTGCTCCGCTTGCTTGCCTGTATCGGCCTTTATCGCTTTCAATTCTTCATAAGCGGTTGTTGGAGTGATGGTGGAGGAGGACATGTTGTCGTACAAGGAGGTGAAGTGAGCTGTGGTGGTCTTTGGCAGTTAGATGTGAAGCGCCTTGAGCGTTGCTTCATATCGCTTGGATGGTTTAGGCACAATGGGCTTGAATTCGAGGTCGCCAAGGTTGTTTAAGCAGATGATTGAAGGGTTGATGATGTGGTCTGAAAGGAAACCTTGGTCTGGAGTGGATGGATTGGAGAGGCTGGTGGGTCCCGGGAGGTGCGGGCGGGGAAGGGTTGGCTTCCTCGGTTTGTTATGTCGCTGGGTTTCCTTGGTAGATGAAGCGCGGTCGACAGGGCTGGGCCCTGGATGCTATTTTTTTTTCGACTATATCGATTGCAGAGGACTCTGTTAGCCTGGGGGTAGGAGGTGGAGTCAAGGACGAGGCCTAGGGGCTTGTCATCAACGGGACTGGGCCCTGGAAACCTGGGGGTAGGAGGTAGAGCCAAGGAAGAGGCTTGCTCCCCTCGCTCCCCCTGCTCTCCATACAGAGCTCAAGCTGCAATTGCAAGGTACGTCTTGCACTCCTTCCCCCTAACCTACCCCCGCCGTTCTTCCCCCCTTCCCTGCCTTTCCCTTGGTGTTTCCTTACTGACCGTTTCCTACTCTTCTCACTGTTCCCAACCTCCCCTCCCCCGCCGCTCGCCCCTTACTCCTCGCCTCTTGTCCCGTTGCACTCCCTGCCCCCCTCACTTCCCTCGCTTCCCTTGATCTCTCTACCCCCTCCCCCGTGGCTCACCCGTCGCCCCTTCCCATCACACATCCTTTACCGCCCCCCTCGCCCCAGTCACTCCCTCTGCTCCCCTTGCTTCCCGCGCTTTCCCCCATCCCTCCTTGCCTTCCTTCTCCCCTCCACCTACACTCCTCCTCCCTACTCTCCTCGTTGTTCTCCCCCTCTCTCCCTTCCATCCCTCGTGGAGAGGGGGGCCGGAGACAAGGCGGGATCCAGCTTTTTGTATTTATGAGCCCTCCTCAGCTACGGGTTGAAGTGGATTGTTGATGAAGTTTATTCAGGTTCTGCTTCGGAATCTGTTTAGCCGCTGTCCCATCCTCGCCTCTTGAAGGACCTCCTGATCAGCTCCTCAATGACCCATTCGCGCAAACATCTGTGTTTTGGTCGACGCTGCTGTTAACCCCTTTTACCGCCTCTCTCCCCTCCATCCCCTCTTCCGCCACCACAGGTCGTCAGTGGGGCTCGGGGGCTGAAGTAGCGGGGGTGGACCAGGCCGCCAAAACCACTGGAAGCAGGGGACTCGGGCGCTTGGGACGCATCCGCGTTTTGGATAATGTCTGTCAAAAAAATGATGTAATCAAGGAGCATTAGTGCAGTCGGCTGATGCAGAAGGGCAGAAAACCTTGTTATTGGTGGGCGGGAAGGGTACTCGCTGAGCGGGATTCGAAATAAGCCTGTGTATGAGAAGAATTCCTTTTAGATGTCCTCGAGGGCATGCCCCGACAACCCTCGCGAAAGTGGTGAAGGTGCAGGCAGATGGCCGAGTCGCCAAGTCAGCAACGACCCCGACTCAACTCGACTTGGGCCGAGTTGACTCAGCGACTCAGCTTAGTCAACCCTAGGCGGCTCTGGGCGAACGCATGCGAATATGATGTAAGTAAGAAACCCCCCCACTCTCCCCCTCAGATCACAATGGTCACATACCTCCCTGACCACCTGCATCACGAACACCTATACGCCAAGTGGCAGTAGCTCCGAGTGTGAACGCTGACGCAGAAGGGGGGGTGGGGTGTTTGGGCAAGATTGGTGGCAGATGAGGTTGGGGGGACAGAGTGGAACTTGGCAGAGAGCAGGGTACTTAGATTCGATTGGGGTGCGATGTATTTTAGAACAGAGAGATAGGTCTCCTTTTTTCTTCCCTGCGAATGTTGGTTCATGTTCTTGTTTATGCACATGCAAACACATGAGCTCATGCTCATGCGGATGCTGTTGCCGATCTTCTCTTTCTTCTCCTTCGGATGCTGTCGCGCCCATGTGGTCATCCAAGAGGCCGGACGCGATGGGCATTGCAACCAGGCAACCCTGGGGAACTCGATCAAAACAAAGCCCCCAATCCCCGAACACGGATGTCCTGGACTCCCTGATCTGAGCACACTCCTGAAGCGGAGCTCCGATTAGAGGATTCCAGGGAGCAACAATTTCTGGGCAAGACCAGCTTTGCGTGCCAACTTGAGGATATCCAACGTGTTGTGAAGCAATGATGATCGAATGAAGCCTGGAAATGGCTGAGAGTTGGATGGTCGTTTTCGGTCTGAAAGGAGCCGCTGGAGTGCCGGAAGCACCCTTTCCTTGGTCTCAAACGGGTCTGAAATGTAGGGGATCCGCTCTAACGTGTTTCAGCCAGTCAAGTGACTGAAACAGAATATCTGCGGAGGGCTATGGACTCTTGAGACATGTTTCTCTATATAAAGCCAAAAAAATCTTTGCTCGCTCACTCGCTTTTCTTCCTTTTATTGCCAAAAAAATCCTCGCTCACTCGAATTCCATCACATTCCATCACCGCCCTGGATACGGCGTATTCGGACGTGTCCGGATGTGCCCATCGAAGCTGGGATTGGAACCTGGGAGATTAAATTGCAGAGCGGCGTTTTTACGCCATGCGCAAACACGGAAAGCGGCGTGTTGCTGACGCAAACACAGACCTGTTGAGGAAGACATGCCGCGAAGAGCAAGGAGCTACAAAAACCGCAGAGTTCCAGCAAATACAATTTCCCCAACGGGGAATCGCACCTCAGCCAAGTGCGTAAGAGGAACCTATCATGACACTGGACTATTGAGGATTATTTCCCAGTCATACATACCTCAGTATTAACTATATATATACTCTGCACACTAACCTCACATTCTACAACACCCTCGCCCCCCGTCCTGACCCGATGTATCCCGAAATGGTTGTTGGTTGCAGAACCTAACTGCTCCGCTGGAGGGCTGAATGAGTCGCTCAGAGATGATTCTGCGGGGGTGTCGAGTGCGGCCCATGCGCGGTCAGATAAATGGAGGTTGTAGACCTATTCAACGAGGAACACAGCGATGGGTAGGGAAGAGACGCCCAGCGCGGAGGATATGCTGGATGAGGGGGGCCGACTTCTCCCGCAACCCGCTGAAGTTGAACGGGCTCGGAAAAGATTTGCTGGTGATCGGGTTACCGAAGAAGGCCGCACTCGTTTGGTCCCCCGTCTCCTACAGACGCGTTGGTTCGATCAAACATGAAATGAGAATTATCTAAACTACACCGATGTGGCGCCTGGAGTGGATGGGCAGACTGAGTGGCGCCTAATTGTGGAGCGCGGGGGGGGCGGGGTGTTGACGGTGACAGTTAGGTCCCGCCTGGGAGGCCCTCTGCTCATTGTTTACGATTTTTTTGTATGCTTCTGCTTCGGAATACAGACCGGCCAGCCCTTCATCGTTGCGGGCTCCGGAACCCTGACCTGGGATATGACCGCGGCGAACCTCGTGGAGCCCGGGGAGGACGTCCTCGTCGTCAACACGGGCGTGTTCGGTGACTGGTTTGGCGAGTGGTGCGTTCAGGGAAGGAGAGGGGGGGG